AATTATCAGGAATTTGGTTTTATCTCTCTAGAGAACCCTGTCTAACTCACATGCCATCACCTTTAGCGGGTGGATGCTTCCAATGGCAGGTAGTTCCCCGTGGTCACCTGGATGATCAGTGTGGTGGCCCCCACACTGAGAAACCTAGCGTTGTCTGTCAGGGCTCTGAGCCTCAGACTCTCCGGAGCCATCTCTTACTGCCCTTGCTATGCTGAGCTGTGGAAACCTGAATTCCAGTTCTTGGCGGACCTTCTTAACCTGCTAACTTGAACAATGCCCAGGAAGGTTGAGCAAGATGCCTGAGGCCTGAGCAGGGGAAGGCAGGAGGGCTAGTTAAGAGATTTTCTCCACTCAGGGTTTCTCAAGGTCATGTGTATGCAACGGTGCTTCAAAAAGTTGGTGGGAAAATTCCATTATCCTTTAAATCCATTTGTCCATGAACTTAGTGAAGCCGCCTTGTCTGGTTCAGCATTCAGCTCATCTCCCTGCTGCGGGGACACCTCCTCAGCTACCACTCCAGGTTTCCTGCTCTGCATCTTGCCTGTGAGCCTCATGGCGCCCTGGACTTCCACTGGGAAGGCGTAAGTCAGCTTTTTCGTCACTCCAGCCCTGACATCTAGCACAATGTCCTAGACACAGTGGACACACAAAAGACTTGTGGGAGGGCGGAAAGGGGGAGGGAACACGATGGCCACATGCCCACTGTCCATGCAGAACAGCCTACCCGGGGCCGCTTCCAGACACTGTGTGGATGAGATTTTCTCTCGCTCTGACAGGGTCCCCAGGGGCATCACCCAAGTCTGCCATGCCCTTCCGTGCATCTGCGGCTGACAGTCCTTACCACCCTCACCCTCACATACACCTGCTTGGCATATGTGATGCCTTCTTTGCTCAGTCCACGGTTTAATCACAATGGCCCCAGCACCTCTCTGTCTCCTAAAGGAGCTCTACAAGTCCCAATCTAATCTGTTCTGTGCTTTAAATGACAAGTTCCTGAGTTGGCACACTGCCAGGCCCCTATGAGTGCCCCCTCCTCCTCCTCCCACCCCCTACCCCCGTCCCACCACACACACACTGAGAGTCGGGGGATGCATGGGCTGCTCCAGGGCACACAGCAGTCATTGGGAAGCAGGACAAGACAGTTCTTACTTCACAGAGCCGGAAGCTCGGGAGGACCATCTAGCACGCAATGGCGATTTTCGTGAAACAGAATGCTAATTTTGATCGTTAGAAACAGGACAAGCATTGGCCTGGGTATCTGGGTGAGATCTAGATGCTTTCTGGTCCTGGCTCTACCATGCTGTCAGCAAGTCCCAAGCCAAAGCTGACATCTGTTACATGACGAGATGACCCCACCAGCCCAGGTCAATCTTGGCATTATGTGACCCGGCGACTATTTTTCACTTAAGAGCCCTTCCCCCAAAACATCATCGGTACTCCAAAGATTGCGAGCTGCTGGCAACAACCACCACACACTCAGGAATCTGGGCCAGTGTCTCCAGTGCTCACGGCAACTTCTCAGGAGGCCACGATTACTGGGATAGTTAGGTTTGGTGGAAACTTGGGTGGGCCAGGAGTCTCAGTAGTTTGGCATTCAACACCTAGGAGTCCACTAGGACCTGACCTAACACAATGTAATCATTGCCAATCAGTTGTACGATGATTAGGGCAGGAGGTAACATCCTTACTGAGGTCACAACCCCGATAAAATCAATGGACAGGAGGTTTCCTTGGAGGGGGTTTCCAGCTTCCAATATAAGTGGATGCTGTGGGAAAGCTTGCTTGCTTTTGTGGTGGAGCTGCCTCCTGCAGGTGGCTCATCTACCTCTGGTTCTTTGGACTTGAACCAATGGCTTGCCACATTTCTTGCTGATCCTGGGAGTTGTTAGTGGCCTGCCATCTGACCTGCTGACCTCGCCTCGACAGTCACCACCAGCCTATGGACCTTAGATTCCTTGGGAGAAGCTTCCAGACTAACATCTGTGGAACCTGCCTGAATTTGACTGCTTCTACAACCAGGTGAGCCATTTTCTTGAAATAAATCTCTCTCTGTCACACACACACACACACACACACACACACACACACACACACCTATAGATGTGTCTATGGTTTTGCCTCTCTTGTGAACCATTACACACACGATCATGCAAGACACCAGCAGACATTGTTAGAGCCTGAAACCAGCAAATCAACAGCTTTTCTGGCAGATGCATTTTTTGGACCCTAGTTAAACACTGGAGGTGGGCCCCAATGTCCGGGACTCTGCTTCTGCTCCCACGTACCCTCTTCTCTCAGTCTCCCACTAGAAGCAGGCATTAGCAAACCTATTTTCTTAGATGGAAAAAGTCAACCATTCTGATAAAATGTAGACTTTTCCTAAGCGTACACTTTTAGCGAAAAGACGTTCCCGCCTCAGTCCTGGGTGTTTGGGACTTCAACACTTCCTTCACCTCAGCTCCTTAGCACACGGAGCTAGTTCAATTACTCCCCCACACATGTGCTTGACTTTAGTACAAACCTGTTTACAGCTTGCAGGCAAGGGCCATCTTAATGAGCTGGCATGTTAATTTCACAAGCGCGACTGTGGGCACGGTCTAGGAACCCCCTTAAGGAAGGGTCAGTTGGGTGGGGCTCTGTCGGAAAGCAGCACGCATTTCCAAAGGTGTCTCCCACCCGCTCCGCCTTCCCCACAGACGCGCGCACTCAGTACCTGGAGTAGTAGGACTCCACTCCCAGGGCCTCCCGGGCGCTGGCGATGTGCTGCTCCAGGGCTGAGCTGGTGGCCGAGGGAAGGGTCGCACCGCTGCCCCCCTGGAAGTCCCCGGGGCTCTCCCCAGCGCTGTCTCCCAGATGGTGCTCATGGAACTTGAGGATCCCTGGAACAAGAGAGGCAGAGCCCCTGAGTGGGCGTGGGTAGGTGTGGGATGGGGTGAGGCGGGAAGCCCTGAGTGGAGGTTCTCCCGCCCGGGGCTGCTGAGCATCAGGGTAGTGCCGACACCTGGGAGCTCAAGACTCCGCTGGGACTTCTGGCCAGACAGCCAGAAGCTTCTGGAACCGTGGGGGCTTCATGCAGATTTCAAATACAGGCGCTCCAACTAGGAGTTGCCTCCTTCCAGGAAGGGCAAGTGTTTAACTGCAGAGGGAAATTCTCACAAAGGGGGAATCTGAAGAAACCTTGGTTAAACCTTAAGATTAAAAAAAAAAGTCAATCTAAACATGAGGGGGTTTCAAATGGAATTACAAATATCACTGGCATTTCCCATGACCTTTATATCACTTGGGAAAAACAACAACAAACAAAACCAAATTCATTGCCACGGAGTCGACGCCAGCTCCCTATAGGACAGGGCAGAACTGTCCCTGTGGGTTTCCGCAACTGTAACTGTGTACAGGAGAAGAAAGCCTCCTCTTTCTCCTACAGAGCGGCCGAGGGGTTTCGAACTGCTGACCCTGCAGATCGCAGCCCAACACTTCCTCATCAGGGCTCCTATATAGCTTAAAGGCCAGAGGAAAAACATTTCAAATCATTTTTAAAACAAGATGTGCTGGTCAAAGATCATGAACGGATTAATGGAAGGGGGGAAAAGTAAAGCCGGCTGTGGGGGAGCAGTGGATTAGCGGGGACGTGTCCCCGTGTCCCAGGATCAGGTGGAATGAGGTCTGCTGGCCTGGGAAAGGCCGGGCCTCTGATAAGATTAGCAAACTCATTAAGAACAGAGAGGGATGCTGAGAGAAGAAACAAGAGGACCTCATCAGACATAGCTCATTACTGCAGGGTCTAGATGGCTCACTTGTCACGTTTTCCACTCAGCCCTCCCCACCCCCTACCCCCAAGGTAACAACCACAGTGAGAAAAAGCTTTACTTCCCCACCCCCACCAGGTACCAATCTTGTCCTCTAACCCAGAGTTTTCTTGTCAAAGAACCGTAAAGATGTGGGGTGGGGGTGGGGACGAATACATCAGAGACCCTGAAATGCTGAGCCGTGAGTGCATGGAGCCTGAGACGCTGTGAGCTGGGGACTGCCATCAGCCAGCCTTTTCTGTTTTAAATCAAAGGGACAGAAACAATCAAGAAAAACTTGTCAGTTGTCTCTGGTGGGTGAGCTTGGGTGAAATGGGCTTGCAGATGCACAAGGAGCCTGCCCTTCAAGATTCCCAGCCACCAGACCCACTTCCCCAGTTGGTAGCCTTCAATCAGAGCCATCTGTAGTTTATCAGACAAAGCCATGACCCTGGGTCTGAACTGCACTTGAACTGCACTGAGGCTGTTACTCAAAAAAACCAAACTCACTGCCATGGAGTGGATGCTGACTCACAGCGACCCCCCATGGCAGGGTAGAAGTGCCCCGGTGGGTTTCCAGGATGATGATTCTTTATAGGAGAAGAGAGTCTCTTTTTGCTTCTGAGGAGCAGCTGGTGGTTTCAAACGGCCAACGCTGTGGTTAGCAGCCCAAGAAGTAACCATTACACCACCAGGGCTTCTCTGAAACTGTTACAGCTGGGATCTTTCCTGGACTAGACTCACAATAGAATTGGTTAAAAACGGGTTCTGCAAAAGCCAGAAATGTCAAGCCTCACACTTCATTCAGATTCTGTTGGACAATGGCCCTGGACTCCCTGTCTTCCTCGAAGACAGTTTCCCGCTCAGTGGTGAGGCGGGGCTGGCGAGAGCTGGGCCGTCGCCCCAATGGACTGTCTCCCTGCGGCATGTCCACGGTGGCTGAGGGGCAGCGGAAGCTGATGTCAGCACCTCCATACATCAGACAGGCCCAGGTTGGCGGCCTTAGTGACCCTGCTCCCTGGCATGCTCACCTGCCCCTGGAGCAAGAAGCCAGCTGTACAGGTAGCCGGCAGCCAGCGAGTAGTAGAGAACCAGGCCCCTCTGGCTGTTAACCATCTCTAAGATCTGATCGATGGTGACCGGGCAGTAGGGGTCCGAGTCCTGTTGTCCCGTCTGCCGCTCCACAAGAAGGTCAGCGAAGGCCCTCGTCCGTCCTCTCTCCGCCACGGCCAGGGCTTCATCGTGATGGCCTAAGAGACACAAGGGCCCTTGTGAGTGCCGGCTCAGGACAGAGGGCAGAAGGGGTCATGGCCACACCTCTGAAGGGGTGGGGTCCACTCATACAGCCTCCTGGTTTTAGACCAGCCCTCTCCCTGACCCCTAAACCATGGGCCAGCAGCACAAAATAGGTCCTCCTCCTGTGCCTGCCCGTCTCTGGTCCAAGTTCTGGGCTGAGTCTGGCGCCAGCCCGTAGTCCTGTCTCTCTGGGGACCGCCCTCTCCGGCTTGCACAGATGACAGCAACGTGGGCAGGTCTCCTGTCCTTCCAGTCCCTTCAAGATGGATTCTGTGTCACCCCGCCCCGCCCGGCCCACACTCCCCTCTCTTCCTGCCTGCCTGCCAGGGCCTGCCTTCACCTATCACTCCAGCCTCCCCTCTCATTCCCTGGAGGCGGGGGTGGGGCTGATCAACACCAGCCAAGCTCACAGGAAGCAGTGCCCACTGCCCCATGAGGGGTGAGTTCATTAAATGTGTGACCAAATGGAGGGGGCTAATTTAATATCCAAACGGCCCTTAGCAG